ATCATTATCCCCATTTTACAGAGGAGATAACTGAGGCTCTGAGAGGTCAAGTAATTTGACCAAAGTTGAAACCCAGACTGCTTGGCTGCAGTGATAATGGTTTAATCCACAACTTTATACCATGTAGAAAAGAGCTCTGGGGATCTTGGATCTTTGATTCCATTTCTGTCCCTAAATAGCAGAGGCTGGATGGAGCTCCATTAATGGAGCAGAGGAAACCTGTGGGTTAAATAGGTGGGCGTGATGTTGCTGTTTTAGGTGTCAATCAAGGGTTCAGTTTTGGACGTAGTGAAGTCGAGATGCTCACGGAATATTCTACTGGACATGCAGAAATTCAAGAAGACATGTAGAGGAGGCAGCTGGATATGCAAGTCTGGATTTCAGGGGCTAGAGATACAAATTTGGGACTTGTCACTTTCGGGACTGAAGGAGATCTGCAAGGAAGTAAGTGTAGCTAGAGAAGAAGTCCACAGAATGAACCCTGGGCAACTCCAATGTTTAGAGATGTGACCCAGCAAGAGAGATCACAGAAGAGTGGTCAGGGAGGTGAGAGGACCTGGGAACCAAGAGAGGATGATGTTTCCGGAAGGAAGGGTGTCAGGCTCAGCTGGCAGGTCTAGTAGGATGAGCACGGAGACTTACTGGATTTGGCAGCTGGGGTGGGAGGAGGGGGGAGATGCAATATCACAGCGACATTGACAAGGGTAGTTTTGTGGAGACAAAAGACTGAATGGAGTATGTTCAAGGGAGAAAAGGAGAGGAGGAAGCGAAAGCCTGACTCTTGTTTATATGTGTAGTCTGAGCAAATTTGAGGACCCATACATTTATCACAATCCCCCTTAAAAAATTATGGCTCCTACTAGATTACATGCTCCTTCAAAGACTAAGACCATAACTTATCTTCTAAATGCCCTGCACAAGGTTGGTGTTTATACAATTGTAAAATTTATATTTTAAAGGTAAAGGAACAGTCTCATTAAATCTTATGAAACGGTGCTTGGCAAAATCTTAAGTACCCTCCCCCACAACACAGACCCCCCCGCCCACCTGGAGTACTATATTGACAATAGAAAGAGTGTTGTTTTTTTTTTCAACTGAGAAAGGTCAGATTTCCATTATGTGACCAGTTTTTTTTTGTGTGTGTGTGATGAATCTTTTAAACGCATATCTTATAGCTTTGGTTACGTTATCTGAGGGGGGAGTGGAGGAAAAAAAACATTCCTGCCAACACGTTGGTGTGTGTGAATCACGGCTCAGTGCAAGCTTTCAGGCCTATAATTTATCTTTTCTTTGGCCTATGTAGTAAATGCTTCATTTGTCCTTGAATTCTTTCCTTGTTTTAATTATGCTACGCTCTGAATGTAGGTTTTTTAAGGCACAAAAATAAGATTGTCGTTCTGCAAACACAGAAGATTTTGTGTTTCCCCCGAGAATGAAATGGTGGCATCTCTCTCTCAAGTCACAGCTCTGTCGGGTTGTGGTTGGAATTCCAATCCAGCAAGGAGCATGCAGGGAAAGTGAGGGAAGGGCTTGTGTGGGCAGGAGGGAGGGACAGCTGATGAGGCTGAGTCCCAGGCATCACTTACCCTAAGAATTCTGAATCAATACACTGACAGCGGTCTATGCATAATGGGATCTCCCGCAAGAAGGCCACTGACTCCGAGGTTTCATTCTTACCACTTTCTGATGGCCGGATTCTCTCATTACACTTTCAGAAAAAATGATTCCCCTCCCCAAACACAGAACTGTTCAGCCAGAGTTCAAAAGAGAAGCCTTAATCATCAGATGGCTGTTTTTTGTTT